GAAGGAAGGAAGGAAGGAAGGAAGGAAGGAAGGAAGGAAGGAAGGAAGGGCAGGCAATAGCATTTAGACTTATATACCACTTCACAGTGCTTTATAGCCCTCTCTAAGCGGTTTACAGAATCTATATTGCCCCCAATAATCTGGGTTCTCATTTTACTGACCTTGGAAGGATGGAAAGCTGAATCAACCTTGAGCCTAGTGAGATTTGAACTGCAAAACTGCAGGCAGCCAGCACACAGCAGGTACCCTGCAGTACTGCACTCTAACTAGTACACCACTACAGCTCATAATGGACGATGGAGTGACATTGGACTGTCCCAATGCGACAAAGCGCATACGCATGCACACACACATACACACACAGGGGCAGATTCTTGATCGGGGTAACCCAACGTTCAATATTTGGTCTTCCTTTCTCCTGCAGAAACTTCATGTGGCCCTCCCAAGCTCTGTTTTCAGTAGCAGAGGGTTGCAGGAGGCTGCCGCAGCCAAAAACGAAGCTTGGGTGCCCATTTTCACTGGCAAAGCACTTGAGCCACCACAGGCGCCCCCGACACAAGTGACATCCAGCTGGCCATGTGTTAGGGTTCCAACCAGTGCCCTAATGCAATTAAGAGTGTCAAGCTATCTGTCAATAAAAATCCAGTCTTTTATTAGAAACACCATGTCCGCATTACCTAGGTGAAGCCAACTTTGACTTCACCCCCTTCGTGCCTTGCCTCTGATCCTGTTTCCCCCTCACCCCCAAAGAGTGTCACCCGTCACATTCCCCAATGAGGTAATTTCGTGGGTTGTGGAAGTGACTCCTTCCAGGCATTGCTGGTATCCAGTGGAGATGGCCTTGACTTGCTCAGCCAGGCTACGTCGTGGTATGACTGAGGAGTAAATTCCTTGGTGCAGCTGCGAGGCGCAATTTCCCATCCCTCTACCTATGGCAACTCAAAAGCGGGTCAGGGAAGCTTCATGAGTTGACACCACATCCACCCTGGCCATGCCCCCCTCAGCCCCCAAGGTCTGTGTAAAGCCCACAGCATCATTAAGGACCCCTTCCATCCAGCCCACAGACTGTTTACTCTTCTTCCATCTGGGAGGAGTTTCAGGTGCCTGCAGTCTAAGACCAGCAGGCTAGGGAACAGCTTTTACCACACAGCGGTTTCCTTGCTGAGCTCCTCAGTTCATTTGTCCCCACACATATGCTGATGCTTCCCTTGAATGATGATGTATTTTGTATAATTCTCTGCGCATTTGTATTTATATTCAATGTGTCCATAAACATTTTGTACAGTTGTATATGTTCATATATGTGCAGTCACACTTATCTTTGTGTGCTCATGTACATACATTTTGTTGTGTTTTCCATTGACATATTCATAGATGCCTTGTATATTTGCATACATATATTTATATTTTACTGTTGTTTTGCACTTCTGGTTGGATGCTAACTGCATTTCATTGCCTGTATCCATGGCAATGACAATAAAGTTGAATCTAATCTAATCTAATCAAACACAACCCTGCTGTGGCCCTCAATGAAATCAAGTTTGACACCCCTGGTGTCAACTCATAAGACATTCCTATGCCTGTTTTCAAGTTGCCATAAACAAGGGGGTGGGAATCTGAAAGAGCAGTACGGCAGTAAAACCAGAAATACATTCCACCCTTATCTGAAAAAGATTGTAGCTAGGCTACCGGATCTTCTGGCCACGAAAATCCTTCATTGGTGAACGTGCTTCATTGGAGAATCTGAATTATGATACACCCAGGGGGAAGGAGGGAAACAGGGTCACAGGGGACTGTAATTGATGTATGCCAGAGTTGGCTTCATACAGGGCAGTGCCAGCATGTTACTCCTAATAAATCCTTTGAAGTTTTTTTGAAGTTTGGCTCAAGAATCATGATTTAATTAGAGCCATCGCCAGAACCCTGACCCCTGGTTTACAGTGTCAGTATCTTGTCCCCAACAATCTGGGTCCTTATTTTACCAACCTCGGAAAGATGGAAGGCTGAGTCAACCTCGCAGTTGAAGTTTTGAAAGAAAGCACAACCGACATAACAGCGGAAGCTCAGGCAGGACCAAGAGAAAAGCGAGGCACGGCATAACTAGGAAAACTCGGGCAGGCTGGTCTAGACATTTTCCAGGGGGAGCCATTTTGTCCGCCTATAAACACTTATTTGCTTGCTTGCTCCTATCTCCTCTTCCTTTTGTCTTCTAGCCGTACCCCACAAAATAGGGAGGATAATTGAAGGGAGCCCTGCTGATCGATGTGCGAAATTAAAAGTTGGAGACCGGATCTTAGCTGTGAATGGCCAGTCCATTATTAACATGCCTCACGCCGATATTGTGAAGCTCATTAAAGATGCTGGCCTTACCGTAACTCTTCGCATCATTCCTCAGGAGGGTAAGTCCGTGATCCTTAAAATCCAGGAGGGGATTTGATGGAGAAACCAATTAATCCAAGCAGGTCTATTGGAGAAGGGGGGCTATTTTTTTGTTGGGGGCGGGGCGGGGCCCAACATCAGGGTGGGATTCAAAAAATTTTACTACCGGTTCTGTGAGCGTGGCTTGGTGAGCGTGGTGTGGCTTGGTGGGCATGGCTTGGTAGGGGTGGCAGGGGAAGGATACTGAAAAATCCCCATTCCCTTCCCACTCCTGGGGGAAGGTTACTGCAAAATCCCCACCCCACTACTAACCTGCTTTCCAGCTCCGTTCCTCTGTGCAGGGCAACCAAAAGAAGATCCAGCCGATCAGCTGGGACTCGGGAGACAGAGAATAGATGGGGGCAGGGCCAACCAGAGGTGGGATTTGCCGGTTCCCCGAACTACTCAAAATTTCCGCTACCGGTTCTCCAGAACTGGTCTGAACCAGCTGAATATCACCTCTGCATGACATCCTATCAAGGGTATTGCCGATTCCACTGGGACTTTGCTGGCATACTGCTGAGGCTACCTAGTTTGAATCATGAAACATCCAGTAGAAAACAGCCAAACTCGGAAAGCAGCAAAGACTCCTCATTTCAACCCCGATCTACAAGTAATCTCCTTGATGGGCTGGCTGGAATAGAATTTCAGCCCTTCAGATGGCCAAAGTATATTCGAATCCAATCAGGAAAAAGGCCCCAGATGAAGCATTTGGGGGTCTGTATCTTTGCCTTGCGGAAAAACTAACCTTATTCCCACTAGCGTTTGGAATAGTTGTGGATGGATGGATGGATGGATGGATGGATGGATGGATGGATGGATGGATGGATGGATGGATGTGTTGTGGCCCGACAGTGGCCAGTGGAGCTGGTGGCAGACTCAGACATTGAGGAGGTTGGGGGGGAACATGGGCCAGTCCTGGAGTCTGGGGAAGGCTCTGATGTCAGAGGCAGAGATGGGGCCAGGGCCATCCGACAGTTATCAGCTGCCTTCGTAGTCAGACATCAGTGAGGTAGAAGAACAGCTGGAGCCTGTTCCCAGTGTGCGCATGCACAGAGCTTCCAGATGAAGGAAACAGCTGAGGAACAAGGGCTGACTTGGGAGTAAAGTCACAGGTGGACAGATGATGGCCCCTCCCCTAGAGTATAAAAGAGGACAAAGGGGGAGTGGGGCTTTGCACGAAACAATTAGTTCATTCCGGCATGCTTGCCAAGTATTGCGGCATCTGAAAGATATCGGCCTGGCCCCTCTCCAAGCCTGATAAAGTTCTGCAATTGGGAACTGTCATGAAAGACTGTTGGCTGGAACTTTGTTAGAGAGGAAATTCATTGTAAATCAAATAAAAGGGGTTTATGAGAGAGATGAGAGAGAGAGAAAGGTATATGATAGATGATTGAAAGGAGAGAGGGAGGGAGGGAGGGGGGAGGGAGGGAGAATAGACAGTTTGATTGGATTGGTTGCCTTCCTTTTTCTTCTTCACTGAATGCCATCTGGGATGACCACTTTCTAATGTCTCTTGTTCCACCCTGCAGAGGTGAACAGCCCAGCTTCCGCACCCAGCTCAGAAAAACAGAGTCCCATGGCCCAGCAACACAGCCCTGGGACTCAGCAGAGCCCTGTAGCACAAGCAGCCCCTCCTCAGCCTCTACAGACTCAAGGACATGAAAACAGGTAAGGCAAGAATCTTTGGCTCTTGCTTCCATGGGGAAGGTGGGAAGAGCTTACTGGCTTTAAATCCAAACAGCTCAGCTTCACTTAACATTTTGTTAGTGCGAAGAAAGATTTCAATTCATAGAAAAGGGGGGGTGGACTTAAATGTGTCATCAGTTTAGAGTTGTTTCGTTCCCACAACAGTCCAAAACCAACTCCTTCTTGAACTCCATTGACCCTGAACTGGTGCCAGGTTAGTGTATTGAATTTTAGCTGACTCAATTCTTACAGGCTTGAATAAATCTTCTGTACAGCAAGCTAATGGGTAGTCATGATTCTTTGCATCTCACATTAATCTAGTCAACTGTCAGAGTGTTTGCAGCATGACTACTATTGTGAGACAACCCAGGAGCAAAACACAGCACACAGAGGCTTTGTCATATAACAATGGTTTATATACAAGACACTATATACATATACATATGCATATGCATATATATATATGTGTGTGTGGTAGGCAAATCTCTGGCAAGCAATCAATCTTCTTTACTCTGCATGCAGAACCACAATGGAGACAGAACACATATGCCCTTTCATGGCCACCTTTATATATACAGCTTCTTAAAGTGGTAAAACCCTATGGACCCATCCTCAGTCTTAAAGCGGCAATAACTCTGCTGGCTCATCCTCATTGAATCAGCTTTTTACAGTAGCTTTACAGGGGCTGGTCAGCTACTAAATCAACACCTTAACTTCAACTAATTTATGGCTCAACCTATACATAAGAATTTGGAAATCTTCTGAACTCTAACTTAACTTTTTGGCCCATAGCCTAGTTTTATTTTCTCTGCCTCTTAAATCTCACACTGTTCTAAGTATTGTAAGTGCCTCTCCATTTCTGCTCTTGTAGCACCGATGTTGTGGTGCACACCAGAACCCTACCTGGTCATTCTACAGACATCTCAAACACCACTGCCTGAGGAAGAGTCTTCTCTTTCTCAACTGAGGCCCTCTAAATTAAAAATGAAATGCTACATTATTATATTATCTGAGACTTCTCAGGAAACAACAACTAAATGAAAAACTGCTGGTGACCTTCTACTGCTGCACCATAGAGAGTATCTTAACTTACTGCACCTCTGTATGGTTTGCCAATTGCACAGGGGCAGATAGGACAGCACTCCAGAGGGTGAACATCATTGCCCAGAGGATCATTGGTTGCCCTTTCCCCTCTTTGGAAGAGCTTTATAGCTCCCGCTGCCTTAAGAAAGTCCAAAACTTTCTCAAAGATCCATCTCATCCTGGGCACCCCTTTTTTTTAACTATTGCCATCCAGCAGACAGTACAAGATAATAAAAACATGGACAAATAGGCTGAAAAACAGCTTCTATCCCAGAGCAGTAACTATATTGAATTCTACTGTATAATGTGTCAGGGTAATGATTATTTAATAGCTGGCCAGCTGCTGTAATGCTGTAGTACTATAATGCTGTAATGATGATGCAATGGTAGTAATGAGTCAGCAGGGTTATTTGACTGTTACCACTTTAAGATACTGTATTATAAGAGAGGCCCTGTCGGGGCATATCTGTGTGTATGAGTGTGTGCTGTAAATTGCTGATTGACTGGTTGACCTTTGCCTAATACGTGTATGTATATTCTTTTGTAGAGATAAATCACTATTTATTATTACACACCCCTGTTTGATGTTATTGCTCCTGGGTTGTCTCACATACACTGTGTGCATTCTGACATCGTGCAATACTATCAGGGGTTTTCAATTCAGTTGTATAGAATGGGAAGGCTGCGTGCTTTTGTTTTATTTTTATAATTTTCTTACGTATGATCTACACCGAAGACGGCATTTAATTTCGTGGTTACGAGGTGCAATGACAATAAAGTGAACATGAAACTATGTGCTTTGATTACTTGGGCCAAGATTACGGGACTACTTCCGTTGATTTTACAGGTTCAACATTTTGCCAACAACAGAATGTTTAGTTCTAATGCCGTTGTTATTGTGGTTTTCTTGTTTAGTTACAGGTCAGAAGTAAAAGCAAGGCAGGATGTCAAACCCGACATTCGACAACCTCCATTTACAGATTACAGGCAGCCTCCGCTAGATTACCGGCATCCCCCTGTATTAGATTACCAGCAATCCCCCCCTTTGGATTACCGGCAGCCGCCTTTGATAGACTACCGGCAACATTCTCCTGACACCAGGCAGTTCCCCTTATCGGATTACAGGCCACCTCAGGTATTCCTCCTTGTCGGTGTGCATAATTTTATATTATTTTTTCCGTTCTGCAACCCAGTCGTTCAATGTTTCTGTTGGCTAAAAATTAATTAGCTAACTCAGGGGTCTCCAAACTTGGCAACTTTAAGACTTGTGGACTCAACTCCCAGAATTCTCCAGACAGCATAGCTGGCTGAGGAATTCTGGGACTTGAAGTCCACAAGTCTTAAAGTTGCCAAGTTTGGACACCTCTGAACTAACTGATAGATAAAGGACTTTCTGTGCTAAGCCAACTGACCATCTCAAAAATGCAAAATGAATCTGAAAAATGTAAATAAAATATATATTAGTTTTTTAAATAAGGGAGCAATTAAGCATCCCTTTCTCCATTGTACGGTTTGCAGTCAACAAGAATGTGTCCAGTGTCTTCCAAGAGTTGAGAAGCTAAACTGTGTGTGTGTGTTTGTGTGTGTGTGTGTGTGTTTCCTTTGCCTGACATTGACAAATGATAGATAGATAGATAGATAGATAGATAGATAGATAGATAGATAGATAGATAGATAGATAGATAGATAGATACTTTAGGCATGTTAAAAAAAAGAAATGGAAAAAAAACCTTGAAAAAGTTTTGTGACGTTTTATAAATGGTGAAAAGGAATGGATGCTTCTAAGAGAGGAAAGCTAAACCAAGGAAATAACGTTTAGCAAATTTCTGTTCCCATGTTGTGAAGGTTCTATTATCTAATCTATCTTTTTTCTGGGATGGATAGATGGATGGATGGATGGATAGGTGGATAGATAGAGATGGATAGATGATAGATAGATAGATAGATAGATAGATAGATAGATAGATAGATAGATAGATAGATAGATAGATAGATAGATAGATAAGGCTTTCAACAGCCTGTATCAATAAAGGAGAGTTCTGGGTTTTTTATTTGTTTGTTTCCAGATCTGGCCTATCATGAAAGCTTGATAGTAAAAACATTTCCCCTTCCCTTTCTCTCATACCAAATAAAGTCAAGACAGGGTTATCTTGAGTTTCTTTCTCACATTTTCTTGCTTTCCCTGGCCAAGCCCCTGTTTGGTTAATGACTCCTTATTAATCAAAAGACAAATCACAGATTGTTATTCTGTGTTTTTATCTTCCTAAAAATAATTCTAGATCAATCTGGCAATTAATTGCAGTTTCTGTTTGATAGTCCTGCTTTGATATTTTTACCTAAAATAATTTATGGATATGTTTATATTAATACCGGGCTCAGTGGTTAAAGACGCTGAACTTGTCAGCTAGAAAGCTGACAGCCCAGGTTTGAACCCCAGCACCAGGCAACGGGTGAAGGCCTCTGCAGCTGATAATAGATAACAGATAATCAGAGTTGGAAGGGTCCTTGTAGGTCATCTAGTCCAACCCCCCACCCAAGCAGGAGACCCTGCACCATGTCTGACAATAACAGAGCTTATGGATAACAGAGCTCCGGATCAACATAAGCCCTACCCACAAAGTATTTTGGGGGTAGGGCTTATATTGGGCGCATGTGTAAAAATCAAGCTAGGACTTACTTTCAGGGTAGGTCATATTTTTGGGGAAACAGGGTAAATAAATGGTGTTTTTTTTTTCCACTTTCATTGTAAACTATGGTGCTGCCTATGAAAGCAAGCCACAGAAACTCTTCTGTATTTACAAACATACCTTCTGAGATCAGCTAAGGAATAGCTGATTGAGTCAAATCCCACTACAGTTAAGTCTGCTCTTGTTCTTTGGATGGGAGCCATCTCATTTGTGTAAGCGAGAGAATCAGAGAGTCACTTTTACACATGGATAACCTAAGCAGCTCCACTAGCAGATTGGCTAAATGTAAACTCTATGGAAGGACTGTGTAAATGTTGCCACTTTTTTCTCCCTTTTATAGATCAATTCTTCCGGTAATTAGGAAATCATTTTAAAAACCCACAAAGGAGCTCAAGCAAATAATAATTTAAAAAAGACTGTTGGTTCAGCAGCTCGTACCTTATGTGTCTATTTGCGTTGCTGTTTGAACTGTCCAAACAGATATTCTCTGCACATAGATTGCACGAATGGCCAGATTCCGACACGCTCACCAACTCCAGCAGTCTTATCCTGAAACGTATTCCATCAAGACCCAGATTTGATAAGCATAGAGTGTCAGCCGAAATGTACATTATGTGTGTATAAAGTCATAAATAACCTTTTATGACCCTGTAATCCCTTAATGCAGGGTAGCGTTGAGATGACTGGATGGAGCCGAGCATTTACTGGCCAGATGCCCTTCCTAATGCCTATATGGAGTTTACAGCAGATATTTTCTCTTTGCGGTCTAGGAGAGAAGCATCTGCCACTACCTAGGATTGAACTCTCAACCTTCCGAGTGGAAGTTGAGCATCTTCACCATTAGGCCACCATGCCACTCAATAAAACAGTGAATATTTTATGTTATACAAGCTACATATCCACAATACAAAAAAGGTGCCAATATTTTCCGTTTAGAATGAATACAGGGAAGAGCAACAAAGATGATGAAAGGACTAAAGGCTAAATCTTATGAAAAACGACTAAAAGAAGAAGGAGGGGTTTGGGTTAAGGAAGGGAAGATTGAGGGGAGACATGATAGCAGTCTTCCACTACTTGGAAGGGCTGCCACGGGAAAGAGGGGGTCCATTTATTCTCCAAAACACTAGAGGGCAGGACAAGAAGGAATGGATGGAAGCTTCTCAGAAGGAGAGCCAACCTGGAAATAAGGAGGAATTTCCTGACAGTGAGGACAATTTATCAATGGAACAACTTGGCTTCAGTAGTTGTGGGTCCTCCATTGCTGGAGGTTTTTAAGTAAAGATTAGACAACCATTTCTCTTGGGTGGTATAAAGATGCCTTGGTTAAACTAGAAGACCTCCAAGATTGAATCTAGCCCTATGATCCTATGATAATTACCCATCTGCCAAAATCTGAACTGTTTTGTCTGGTGTGTGTTGTCTCCATTCAGATGCCAAAAATAAACTATGGCTTGTCTTGATGCAACAGAAACTAGCTGGTCTTTGGGGTTCTATGTTCCCCTCTTCTGTTTATGCCTCTGGAATAGCCATGAGAAGAAGAGAAAATTTTGTTTTAGGTTTTATCTCCCCTTAACTGCACTGTTCTTAATCCAAAATATAAATTTTAACTGGAGTTTCATTGAATCATGATTTGAAGCATCATTGTTTCAAGTAAATTATGATTATTCATAATTTACAACCTTCAGCAAATACGGCAAGCTGCAGTGTTAATGTCCCCAGAATAAGAGCTTGTGATCATATTTGTATGTGTGTGTGTGTTTTGTGTGTGTGTGTTTGCCTGCATGTGTCACCTTCACGTCATTGTTGACTCCTGGCAGTTGCGTCAACATCTCCTGCAATTTTCTTCACAAAATTTCAGAAGTCGTTTGCCATTGTGCCAGTGGTGGTATTAATTTTTTTTTTTTACTGCCAGTTCTGTGGGCATGGCTTGGTGAGTGTGGCGTGGCTTGGTGGGTGTGGCAGGGGAAGGATACTGCAAAATCCCCATTCCCTCCCCACCCCACTAACCTGCTTTCCAGCTCCGTTCTCCTGTGCAGGGCAACAAAAAAAAGACCCAGCTGATTAGCTGGGACTCCGATCAGCTGGGACTCAGGAGGCAGAGAATAGATGAGGCAGGGCCCACCAGAGATGGTATTTACCAGTCCTCCAAACTACTCAAAATTTCTACTATCGGTTCTCCAGAACTGGTTAGAACTAGCTGAATACCATCTCTGCATTGTGCCATTCTTAGGGCTGAGACAGAGTGACTGGCCCAAGGTTACCCAGCTGACTTTGGCTGTCAGGCAAATACTAGAATTCATGATCTCCTTAACCATACACCAAATTGAGCTGAGGATGACAACATCCCACCCAAAGCTGGAGTTTACACTAAACATGTAGAATAGTACTTAGACTTATATACCACTTCACAATTCTTCACAGCCCTCTCTAAGCGGTTTACAGAGTCAGCCTCTTGCCCCCAATAATCTGGGTCCTCATTTTACTGACCTCGGAAGGACAGAAGGCTGAGTCAACCTTGAGCTGGTGAGGATCGAACTGCTGGCAGTCAGCAAAATTAGCCTGCAATACTGCATTCTTGTCACTGCGCTCTTAGTGATGTTAATGATCATTTTTTTAAAAACCTTGTGAATATTTCAATTAAGCATTGAAATATAAAGAGGTCAATTAATCTGAGTCCATATCTCTTTGTTGACATGGCAATACGTTTGAAGTATTGACTTTAGTCAAGAAAAAAAAACGCTACCGTTTCTTAAAATCGTTGGTTTTTCTTCTCTCCCTTGGTTTGTCTAGGATTTTGATTATTTTACTGTGGACTTGGAAAAGGGAGCCAAAGGGTTTGGATTCAGCATTCGTGGTGGGAGAGAATACAAAATGGATCTCTATGTCTTGAGATTGGCAGAAGACGGGCCAGCAATAAGAAACGGACGAATGAGGGTAAGAAAACTCGAGGAGGTAAATGCTAACAGATCATGGAAAGCCAGTGGCATTGAGCAAAATTAAGCTTATTTCTCACTAAATATATACACTATAAACTCATAAAACACTTCTATGCTTTTTTAGAGTTGCAATGAACAGAAGGGGAGGGGGAGAAATTTGAAAGAGCAGTGCAACAGTTTGGAACCAAAAATGCATTCCATTCTTATCTTGCAAAGATTATAACTAAGCTACCGGACTCTCTAATTGGAGAACGTGATTGATGACTCTTGGCTATGAACGTGTTTCGTTGGAGAATAGGAATTATGATACACCCAGAGTGGTGGGGGGAAACCACTGTTAAGGGTGACAGTGAATTACGTGTCTCAGTGGTCTTCAATTAGAATTTTCCGTGGCAGAAACTTTGATCACCTAGTTACTATCTCTGAAAACATTTATGGAATGCACTTTCGGTTTTGCAAGCTGCTATGCTATTCCCCCCCCCCACTCCCTTTCTGTTGGCAACTCTAAAAGACCAGAGAAATATTTTATGAGTTGACACCAGTCTTTGTAGGATTTTATTCCTGCCAAGATGCGATTTTTCCTCTTTAGTTGCACTCGCTATTACTGAAGTACAGGTTTAAAGATGGAAAGACAACCAGTAGTGAAATTCCAAATTGCATGCTACCGGTTCTGCATGCTTCACAGAACCGGTCAAAATTTCTGCTACAGGTTCACCTGAACCGGTCCGAACCAGCTGAATACCAGCTCTATAATTAGGAACCTTCTGGAGCAGATTCTGAGAAAGGCATTGAGGGCATTGGTGGGATTCAAAAAATTTTACTACAGTTCTGTGGGTGTGGCTTGGTGGGCATGACATGGCTGGGTGGGTATGGCTTGGTGAGTATGGAAGGAGAAGGATACTGTAAAATCTCCATTCCCTCCCCACTTCTGGGGGAAGGTTACGACTGGTTCTCCAAGCTACTCAAAATTTCCGCTACCAGTTTGCCAAAACTGGTCAGAACCTGCTGAATACCACCTCTGATTGAGGGGGATCCAAAAATTAGAAACGAGGTGTCACAAAGAGAGATTGGAAGATCTGGGGATATTTAAATTGAGGAGGGATATGCGACGGTCTTAAAATATCAAAATGGCTACCCTCCCAAAGACGATCGAGACTTGTTTTCTATTGTCCTGGAGTCCAGAATGTGGAGCGATTTAATTAAATTAGAGAGAGGTGGATTCTGATTAAATATTAGAGGGGGAAGAAAACCCCGTCCAATTCAGACAAAGGAACCAACTCTCGAGAGGGATGGCATTTTCTTGTTCACTGGGCATGTTCAGGTAGAGATGAGATGAGTTTTAATTTGAATTCCTCATTAAGCAGAACAGCTGACATGGCAGTTTTCAATGCTAATGATAAGAGTCAATGAGAAACTCTGGATTCAGAGGACGCCAAAGTTTTAAGTACATTTTTTTCAAGTATTCTGATCAGTTTACCTGACACCGTTAATCCATTGCTAAATGTTCTCTCATTAATGTATCATTCTCACAACTTTGAAAGCAATGCTTCGTCGCCACTAACCTTGGCTTATGTGTGACTTTTTCCATTCATAAATTATTTTCCAAACTTCAGTGAATGTATTTGTATTTGCTTTCTGGTCTGCCCACTGTGAAGGAATCTGTTCTGAGACAATAAACAAACATTAGTCCCAAAACCTTTATTTTCTTTATTTCAACGGCTGTGAATTTTAGTCAAAGTCCTTTGGGATAAGTCTAATAAGCACACACCTTTATCTTCCTTGAAATGCTGCCAATGACTAAATTTCCAATTAGTTATACAAGGCCAACCAGAGCACAAATTCAACACAGAGCTTCAGGTTTCAAACTGACCAGTACAAGCAAAGTTGCTTCCTGCAAAGGTTCCTGTCCCTTTGCTCCTCCTTTATGTCTTATGGGAGGGGCCAATCACCTCCAAGCCTTACTCCCTAGTCACCCCTTTTGTTTTAGCTGCCCTTGTCTTCTAGCAGTTCTGCACATGTGTGCACTGGGAACAGGCTCCCCTTGTTCCTTTGCCTTGCTGCTGCCAGATTCTGAAGGCTCCGGAGTCAGCACACAACTCCCAGATGGTCCTGGCCCCATCTCTGTATTGGATGCAGGACCCTCATCCGAGTCCTCCCCAGACTCCCAGACTGTCCCATGTTCCTCCCCACTGTCCGACTCTGCTGTCGTCTCCACAGGATGCTGGTGGACCACAACAGAATCATCCAGTCTCAATGCATAGGATCCCAATTGATCCCAAGACAGACAAAGTTTCAATTAGACCTGGAAGAAAAAGAGGGACATTTTTAAGGAATGGTATGCTTTATCAATTTCCATCGACACATTCAACCTTAAAAGCTTCAAATTTGTCATCCATCAATGTATCTATTTTATCCCTTAAAAGGCCCAACTTTGCTGTGGTACGATGTGTAGCTGCGATATTTGGCCACACCTGTTCTTTTGTACTTGGGTGTTCTAGTAACCAAGATAGGGGCTAAGAAATTTTGGGAAATTATGTTTTACAATTTAAGGAATTGGGTATGGCTAGTTGAATGAAAAGAAGGACTAGGGGAGACATGATAGCAGTTTTCCAATATCTAAGGGGTTGCCACAAAGAAGAGGGAGTCAAGCTATTCTCCAAAGGACTTGAAGGCAGAACAAGAAGCAATGGGTGTAAACTAATCAAGGAGAGAAGCAACCTAGAACTAAGGAGAAATTTCCTAACTGGGAGGACAATTAACCAATGGAATGATTTGCCTTCAGAAGTTGTGGGTGGTCGAACGCTGGAGGTTTTCAAGAAGAGATTGGACATCCATTGGTCTGAAATAGTATAGACTCTCCTGCTTGAGCAGGGAATTGGACTAGATGACCTCCAAGTTCCCTTCCAACTCTGTTATTTTATGTTTTTAGCTCATAAGATAGTGGAAAATCCACTGTGCACCTTGTGTAGTTCAATGTTGCTATCAAAGCAGTTGTACTGGGTGATTTTTGCCTAAAATATTATATATTCTTTATAACTAAACTATATATAATCTATTGGGTCTCCTGCTTGGGCCAGGTTGGATTAGAAGACCTCCAAGGTCCCTTCCAACTCTGTTACTAACTTTAATTGCCAGCCATGTCTTTTCTTCTCACACCTTTTGGTAGTTTGGACCACCAAAGTTTCTTCCAAACTCTGCTCTTCTATTATAATTAAACAAATAATAATAATTTATGAGTGCACTAAATATTACCCTGTTTCTCCAACAATATGGCCTCCCCCAATAGGAAGCCCCAGCATGTTTTATAGGCATGAAATGAAATTAAGCCCCTCCCCCCAAATTAAGGCCTATATTAAAACATGCGAAATGGGGGGGAATGGTGGGGGGGGCTTGCCGGTAGGAAGTACTTTTGTTGCACACCCGGATATGGTGCTGCCTGCGTTGACCCCGATACGAAGTGCCCCACCAACGCCGAGGTCAACATCCAAACCGTTGCCACCCGCCCACCCAAAGATGCAAGGGGGGGAATTAAGTCACCCCCGAAAAGACAGCCTAGCCATTTTTTCGGGGCTCAAAAAAAAATAAGACCCGGCCTTATTATATGAGAAACACGGTAGTTAGGAATTCATTCTGGGTCCTGGTGGTTTCTTTTAAGGCTTCATATGGGCTGCATTCTGAATTTAAAAGGGAAATTCCCTTCTCATCAATCTCAGTCTTTGGTCATCATTTTTATTCTAAAGCATTTGGAGGACATGACAGTAATTCTCTACCGCATTCTTCTTCAGCCACTTTTCATAAAATAGGGATTAGCTTTTGATGGATCGGAATCCTAAAACTCTAAGCAACATGATGTATTGGACTGCAGGAAGACAGAAATAATAGATAAAGCAGATTGCATTTTCTTGAGGTTCTTGAATTGATTTTAGCATCATATTTTATTTTATCTTAATAAGAAAAAAATGGGGGAATCTCTTATGAAGCCTGTTTTCAAAACGAGTTCAGCTCTCATCATCAAAGAACACCTTAAGAGGAAGCAAAGGACTTCTTTTTTTACACTTATGATTAATTTTATTCTTTAAAACATGCAAGTCAGCTCATCTAGCTGCAAGTATGTTCATAATTCATGGAAAATAACTTCCAAAAAAATATGTCAGGCTATTAATCTCAGCTTTAATCTAATCAAATTCATTTTTTTTAAATGATAATGTTAAATTGATGTGGTTACGTCTATATTTATTATTATCTATAAGGGTACATACATTTTTCCCCTCTGTGGAATGAATTAGCATAGCTTATTTGGTATGTTATGCAAACATTTCTGGAATATATCTTTGAAGAAAATTACAACTCGTAAACAACCGTCAAGAATCGTAATGTAACTCTTCTGTCAGCAAAAGAGTGTAGGCCAAAATGCATTGTTGTTTTATTCTTTTACATAATTGAGATGACCAGGTAAAATATATTGCTGCTTTACTATTTCCAGAGCATTCATTGATTCAAGACAAATCAAATAAATAAAATAAAATAAATAAATCACATGACAGTGTCACCCAGATTTATTAAAAATGACGTCAATCATTTTTCAAGACCAGGGTCGTCAAAACTCCATTTCATTGAGGGCTGCATCAGGGCTGTGGTTGACCTTGGGGGTCCGGGTGGGTGTGGCCAACTGGATCGGTGTGGCTGACTGGGTGGGCATAGCCAACTGGATGGGCATGGCCAACTGGATGGGTGTAGCCAACTGGATGAGAGTGGCCAACTGGATGGGTGTGATTGACTGGGTGGGTGTAGCCAACTGGATGGGTGTGCCAGCTTGATCCCTCTCACTGGGTGTGACCAACTGGGTGGGCATGGTCAACTGGTGGGTGTGACCAACTGGATGGGTGTGGCCAGCTTGATGCCACTCACTGGGTGGTGACCGAATGGGTGGGCATGGCGAACTGGATGAGTGTGGTCAACTGGATGGGTGTGGCCAACTTAATGGGTGTGGCCAGCTGTCAATTCATAAAACATTTTGTATTCACGTTTTATAGTTGTCAACAGAAAGAAGGGGGGAGTTTCAAAGAGCAGGCAGCAGTGTGGAATAGAAAGTACATTCCATTCATATTTTCTTCAAAGATTGATTAGATGACTGAAGCTTCTGCCGTGCAAAAATCTAACTGGAGAGCATGATTGATGAGTCTTGGCTAGGGACGTGTTTCATTGGATGATACACCCAGAGGGGTGGGGGAAAAAGCAGGATCAAGGCTGACAGTGAATTATGTATCTCAGAGTTGGCTACACCCAAGCAAATGCCAGCATGTTAACTTCTAATAAATCCCTTGCAGTTTTGGGAGTGTGGCTTGAGACTCATGATTTAATTGGTGTAACTGCCAGAATCCTGACACCAGCTTGATGCCACTCACTGGGTGTGACCAACTGGGTAGGCATGGCCAACTGGATGGGTGTGGTCAGCTTGATGCCACTCACTGGGTGTGACCAGCTAGGTGAGCATGGCCAACTGGGTGGGTGGGCATGGCCAGATTGATGCCACTGCTTAAACTCTTCCCACTGGGTAGAACAGGATGACCCCTTGGGCTGGATCCAACCACATCTCGGGCCAGATCTGGCCCACAGTCTTTGTGTTTATCACCCCTGGTGTAGGGTCTCTTGCTAGAGCAGGGGGTGTGTGTGTCAGACTAGAAGACCTCCAAGATCCCTTCCAACTCTTTTATTCTATGTTCTATGATATGGGGACTTCCCTAACCTCTTGCTTCCCAGATCATTCCACTACTTTTTTTTAGCTTTCGCATTTATGGAAAATTGTCCAAATAAGGTTTAGTCATCCTACTTGAACAAGAAAGGACTGGTTTATCCATTAATTTTAATATCAGTAATTTATGAAATGAGACAATGAGAAGCAACTCAGGGTAGTCCACAATTCAATAGCACAGAGACACAAAACTGACAATTGATCTATCACTGGTAGTCCTTGGTGCTCTCTGAGTTTGCTTGTTTTCTTGCAGGCATTTCATTACCCAAACTAGATACCATCATTGGTGCTAGTCTCTGATGATGTTGCCTAGTATGGTAATGAAACATCAGCAAAAAAACAACCAAGCTCAGAGAGCACCAAGGACCCCTCCTGTCAACCCTGAGCTACAAATATTCTCCTTTATTGCCTATCATCTATCTATCTATCTATCTATCTATCTATCTATCTATCTAT